AAATCCAAGGGGCAGTAATGACAAACTGGTAATTTTCATTACAACCTATCAAATATCAAATGTCCTCCGTGCATGCGCACTCGCACTGCTCCAGGGTAGGGCGTTTCAACCAATAGGAAGGCTGGTGTTTGTTTATAATTTAGGTTATTAAAATGTCATTTACTGCCGCTTGGATTTGGAAATGGTGTAGATAAGTAGTTCGTTCGGTTTGACGATTCCCTAAACTTTTGACACGCGAGATCATTCACTGTGTTTTTTACTGAAAATGGAAAATTTAGCATACAAGACATTGTTGTCGATTCAGGATGTTCATCACACATGGCGAATTCATAAGAAATATTCACGAATTTCTAAAGCTTCGTACTGACCTGAACATTACGCCGAACAACAAACACACTACTTCTTCTCAAAAAAAAACTCACAAAACAAAACCCAAAACGGATGACGACCAAGCGATTTAAGGCACATAACCTGGTAAAAAATCAGAGACACGTGAATCAAGGTTCCACTTCAACAGGGAGCGTGACTTCTTCTACGAACGGTCAGAATTTGCAAATCCGTTTGCAAACGCGTTCGTAGCCCCGTCCACATTGGTGTTTCGTTCGTCATTCGATTCGTTGTTCGGCGTTATGTTCAAGTCCGTACGAAGCTTCAGAAGCTCACACGTGGATAAGAAAAATGAGACAAGACAGCAGAAGGAAGTTCATGCATTAATGTTGCTTTTAATATCAAAAATTGCACAATTTTTCAACTCAATCTGCTTAGTCGTGAGTTCAGTGTGGAAGAAGTCAGGCTCCCTGTCGAAGTGAACCATAAAATAGTGGAACCTTGATTCACGTGTCTCTGATTTTTCAACAAGTTATGTGCCTTAAATCGCTTGGTCATCATCCATTTTCGGTTTTGTTTCGTGAGTTTTTTTTTTAGAAGAAGTAGGTGTTTACTACTGTGAAAAATTGTGCCGGAATTTTTATTTTCTTTTCAAATCTATTCAACACTTGGAATCAGTAAAAAGTAAGAAATACACACCTCGTGATAAAAATACATATATAAACAATGATAATGGGCATACGATAATTTATATTGTCATAAATAGCATTACATAAAGTCCATAAATAAAAATTTTATTCTCTGTTTCATCAGTATTTTCTCGAGTATTTTTTTCAGGATATTCGATATTCTACATCTAATGGTTGGTCCAGCATCAAGCACAGTCTGTTGAATACTACTGTAGCTCTGGAAAAATTGGAGATTTATCCTTTTCTGTTCTTCAAGGATTTCTTGCAAATGTTTCTCGTATAGCAGGGAATCGACCTTTATTTTTAAGTTTGAAGTATAAAATTTGAATTGCACACCTATTCGATTTAGAAATTAAACATTTGGAGATACCAATGGGAGATACCTACCTATGTATTGATTTTAAACATACCTGATTAAAAGTCCAAAGCTTGTTTTGCATCAGGAGAATTCTTACATTTTAAATTAGGAATAATTTTCGAGTATTTTTTAACAGGGTTTGCAACCGGTCTGATCCGAGGATTTTGCTCTTCATGTAGAATTTTTCAATTTTTGTAAATTGATCGCTGACTCAAAATCGCTTAATTTCAGAACATCGTTACAAGATTTTTTTTTAAAATAGTTATTACGAACTATCAAAGAGAGACGAATATGGCAGTTTTCAACCTGTATAATATGCTTAAAATTTGAAATAATTAGTTGCGATACCATCTTTATTTTTAAAGAAATATGCAACATCTATAGCATCAATATTAGCCCAATGCCCAATTATACCAAGATTAGATAGACAATGGAACCGTACCAGATCTGGAAAAAAGCCATACGATACCGATTTACAAAAGTGGTGACAAAAATGATCCATCCAATTATAGACCCATCAGGATCAGCCTGACCTGCACACTTTCCAAAATACTCAAAAAAATCTTGTAAAAAAAACAACATCCATCTTACTAGAAAACGACATCATACTTTCCATACAGCATGGCTTTATCCCAAAAAGATCCAAGTAGTACAACAAATCTTCTCAGCTGTCTAGACGATCGGTCTACAAATCTAGACGATCGGTCTACAAATCTAGACGAAGGCAAGCCAATGACGTAATATATCTTGACTTTCAGAGAGACTCTGTTACAAACTAAGCCATTATGGAATAAGTGGCAAGTACCTGCAATGGAGCAGCTCCTTGCTTAGGCAAAGAACTTTTATTGTTCAAGCAAATGGAACCAGCTATCAGCTCTAATTGGTACCCAGTCGTCAGCGGAGGATCTGTGCTTGCCTCCTATTTTTTTATAGTGTACATCTCCGATATTTCAAAGATTATACAAACCAGAGTAAAATCCTTTGCATCTGCAAAGGTGGCAAAGGTCATCTGACAAAAAACTATATGGAAATCCTTTTCCTTTAACACAACATCATCAACTAAAGAAAGACATGAGTACCTACTGAAGAGAAATGGACAATCACATGGCAGCTAAAACTGAATGAAAAAAAGTGTACAGTTCTACAACATAGGACGAAATAACCCTAGACTTAACTACCAAATAACAAACAGCGTCGAACTCAAAAAAGTTTCAGAACAAAAAGACCTAAGAGGAGTTTATATCACCGATGATCTCAAATGGGAAACTTATATATCGCACAAAGTAAAAAAAGCCAATCAACTAATCTGCCTTATTAGACAGGCATTTGAAAATCAAACTCTGAAAATGCTAAGAAAACTGTACACCACTTACATTGTACCAAAACTAGAATATAGCCACACAGTTTGGTCTCCTTACTACATCAAAGACATGGATCTCTTAGAAAGTGTTCAGAGAAAAATAACCAAAATTCCAACAGAACTTAGAAGCCTGCCATACCGAACAAGACTCCAAAAATTTCAGTTGACAACACTTAGGAAAAGAGGAGACCTTATTGAAACATACAAGAACCTAAATGACTACTACTCTACAGTCCTAAAACTAGAAGATATATTTCAAAAGAATCAAAACTTAAACCTTAGAGTACACCACCAAAAACTTAAAAAGGAGAGAACCCTTCTTCTTGGAAGAAAAAATTTCTTTACTAATCCCGTATTCTATAAATGGAATTCCCTAAACGCAGAAACAATAAATGCACCAAACACAAACATTTTTAAAAATAGTCTAGACCAAAAGTTTTGTACCATAAACAACACATTAGTGCATTTTTTTTAAAGCAATACCTACAACAAAAAACTACGAGTGAAAAATCAATAGCGATGGACTCATCGGAGTTGGGTCGCTTTCCTTCGCCAAAACCATAATAATAATAATAATAATAATAATAATAATAATAATAATAATAATAATAATAATAATAATAATAATAATAATACATAATAATAATAATAATAATAATAATAATAATAATAATAATAGTGACATTTGAGTCTGGAAAAATGCAGGAGAAGAGGAAAACCTACAATGGAATTTTGTAACCGTCACTTGATCAGACTCATGACTAGTATTCGGACATAAAAAAACTGGCAAACTAAAAATCTTACTTCCAGTTTAGTGTACATCAATTTTGGCTTAAAACACATTACAACAATAATAGGAATTATTCAACTTGAACCAATTCATTCACTGTACCCTCAGTTCCAGCAGAGTATGGATGCCATAATCTCAGAATTCAAGACAACTGAAATCCAAATGATTCCGGCAACATTGCAAAACGGATCCAAATCGATAGATCGTGCAGCATGCCGGCGTGTGTATGTATATTTCAACTCTCTGACTCCGGATGCATCCGGCAAGGCCGTGTGGTATGTGGGTCACAAAAAAAAATGTTCTCAGACCCAAGAATTTCTCATATTTCGATCAATAATAATGAATTTGTGTGCAAAAAGCGAATCGTCACAAAAACCAAAAAAAAAACTAGCTAGACAAAGAAATAAATTTCATAGTTCATTGTTCCATTAAATTATGCCATAAAAGACTTATGCAAATTAAACTGAAAACTTTGTAAAGTAGCAATGACATTTAGGTGTACGGTATCATAAAGCAAGTGTTAGTACCACCTTGGTATGTGTGTTAATGTTAATCAACAATTAATTTACTATTAGAATTTAATTATGCATGTGTTAATAGGATTATTTGCACTTATGTATGTGTTAGTAGTTAATTAAAAGTTCAATATTGTATCATATCAGCCATACCAGCATAAGGATGACCAAAATCTAATTCAATATGGCCGCAATGGGGTAAAATTGTGTGTTATTTGGTAATCCTTACCCTGGGAAAAAAAACAAACTTGCAGAGAAACTTTATTGATTTATTCCCATTCAGGCTAGGTGCATGTCAGTTTGTTAACACTATCTTAATTGGTCTAATTGCCTAATTAAGATGACTGAAACCTAAAATCAGATTAGGTTAAATTTTAGTGTCACAATTAAGCATGAATAATAATTTAGGTGAACTAATTATTACAGCTGCATTTGCTTGCTACTTTAATCAGAAAGCATTTTGGTTCAATAATAACTGAGTAAATCTTTATTGATCATAGACTCATGCATCAGTAAATTAATTTCGTCAAAAATTCTCATTGTTATTTCTCAATCGCCAATATGCAACAGAATAAAACCAAAATTCATCATTGCAAAAATTATCTTTTGTTTCTACAAAGTTTCTTGCTCTCTCAGATTAATTGCAAAGATCCTTGAACCTTGAAAATCCACTGAACCCATTTTATAGGCGAGACAACGACAACAACACACAGACAAGGGGCCTCAGGTGTACACCCCAGGTATAATATCACCCAGAAACGTGACAAAAGTAATTTCCTACAATTTGGCACAGAATATACAATTTTATTATTAGTCATTTTTGGTTTGGAGGGTAAAAGCAAAAAGCACTCTTATTTTCTCCTCTAAGTGACGGTTCTCATTGGCCACTGATACATTGATTTTTCGCGTCAGAGGGTCCTGAACACACGTGCAATAAGTATAACCAAAAATAAAGACTTACGTTGGGGTGGCATTAGCCTGTAATGCGGGGGTGGAGGTAACAGACATATCCCGTCCTGATGTTTCACTGGACCATTTGGTACAAATCTTGAAACCATTATTTTGTGATTTTTGTTTTCAATACAAATCAATAACATTCATTTTTCCGAACTTTGAAGATTGAAACTTCAATATCCATTGGGAATTTGCCATAGTTTTTCTGTTTATTAACTAGCATAGTTTATTTTATTGTCGCCCCACTACTGAACACACTTTTGGTTTTCTCGATAATATTAATTTAATAATTCGAGTCTAATTAAAACCACAAAATAATCTCTCTAAAAAATCAATATAGGGCGTTTTTAGTACACACCGTCAGACTCATAGCACCTCGATTTTCAGTTATTGCACTCAAACTTCAAAAACACTCCCGTTAAATTCCGATTTTTTTTTAAGTTCTAATACAAAAAAAGACTTATTTTAAATTAGTTTCATGACAAAACGCCATTGTATGGAACCGTGTGTGGGTATGGCATCGTAGCATCGCACATTTTACTTCACAGTTTGACCGTGGCTCTTGCGAGGTTGTCGGATTTCCCAGCAGAGAAGTAGCTGGATTTGATGGTACATAAAAAGGGGAGATGACAAACTAAAAGGGGACGAGCCATGAACATTGAACAGGGACGTATTCCTTCTAAAAACGGAACCCCAACAACAAACGAGGATTTTTGGTTTCATTATTTTGTCGCTTCTTACAACACAAAACGAGAAATTTACTCATCAAAATAGTCTAGGGAACAAGAAATATGTCTTAATTTTAGGACAAAACAATTTTTTTTTAAAGATAACCTGGGAATTATTTATTAAACAATTCTTATCAAATTTACCATATCAGCTTCTTTTTGCAAGCTTGTCGTTTAAATATTTTATAAATAAAATCAGCAAAAAATTTCGACCTATCAGGTGTCATCAGTGAGGCTAGAAAAGCTAAGAAAACCAATCCAAGTTTAGTGCCTTAGGTATTCACTCGTATCAATAAAGTCTAGCGAATGCTATTACTCTAACTCCGCCTCTTTTTGGTGCATTAACAGCATTTACGCTAAATAGGTATGTTTATCTCAAAAAACTTAAGCAGAAGCATTTGGTTCTGTTTTATTTATATGAGCCATTATCTTGTTCCCTGGACTATTTTGATGTGTGTATGTGTTCAAAGTACTGGCACAGAGTATCTAGGTACCGATTGCAAAGAATATTTAAGAAGCTATTGAATTTGATTGAATACGGCTCCCCTATTTTCTTTTAAGAATCTTTCTCAGAATCTTTGAACACATTTTGTTGCATTTATTTCCGGACACCCTGTATAGTAATTTACAGATATAATCAGTGAGGTTACCAATAGCTAGACTAGCTTTTCTGTTTTCTTGAAAAGGGAGTTAAGTTACTAAATAACTTAACTAGGTACTTAACATTTATAGGAGCTTGCAACTTGTAGCTAGTTACATTATTTGAACTCAGCCTCGTTGAGGATGTTCAAGAAAGCTATAAAGTTTGCATAGTTTGCTGCTGAAACCTACACAAAATAAAAAGCTTATTTATTTAGAGAGCAAAAATGCAACTTTACCATATCATCCCAATATATGCAGTACTTCCCTTCCAACTGAATTTGATTGTCCCAGACTGAGCTTTTATTAATATTGTATTAAATCTACATAAATATTCTCAGGTCAATAATACCCACTATAAAAATAAACCCAACAATTTCTCTATTAAGCGGCCCGCATACGTATTACTTTTAAAAAACTGCTTTAATAAACTTGTGAGTGAACAGCTGATGTCAAAAACCACAGTTTTGTGGTGTAGGTGTTTACAATTGGCCATTTTTTGACGATAATAGTGGTTCGAATGTGAGCTCTTCAACATAATAATTTTCCTTCACTATAAAAATAATAATAAAAATTATTCTCTAGGTTGCACAATAATGGAATGTTCCAGTATCAATCAAATTTAAATATTGAAATTGACAATATCAGAGAGTAAAACATGATTTAACAATCTAAGGTATTATTATGTAATTCATTAATCACCAGGAAATATGTAATTGCAGTAAAACTGGGTTTTACCCAGGTGGCTGTTCTAAATACGCAGGTACAGGCATAGATATTGAAAATTGGCAAATCAGCAGTTTACTGGTGTTGATAATTGAATTGTGCTCCGAATTGTGATATAAATATTTCTACGTAATTTTTCGGCTGTTATGGTTTTAGGAATTAACCAAGAAATTAACATTAAAATTCATTTTAGAATGGTAATAAGACTGCAAAAATCATGACAAATTGTGTGGTAGCTATTTCCATGTAATTTCTCAGTTGCATTATGTTTTTATAGGGTTGCGTCAAATGCGTTCTAAAATGAGAATAGAATGGCAATAATTTTTAATACATTTGAGCTCTATTTTTCGTCCATTAGTTGCCACCATCAATCAAAATAATTTTAAACCACATCATTCATGCATGAATCAAATCAACACCGTCCTCTTCTCTGGATAGTAATATGTAGAAGAGTCACAACAATTTAAATCATTCCCCTTAGATTTTTCTGGACTCTCAGTGTTTTGGAGTACATATTAGAAATCGAGTTAGAAATAGACCAATTGTAACCATTCAAGTAATAAAAGCTTTATGTGACTATTTCACTAGGGTGTATACACCGGCAATAAATTCGGTATTAACCTGACTATTTCACTAGAGTGTATTACACCAGCAATAAATTCGGTATTCACCTGACAATAACGCTACCTGGACAATACCAACAACATGGTATTTCAGCGACCATCTTTTGACATTGTCAAACTGGTATTTTCAATTTGAAGTTTTTATTCATAATTTTGCATTCTATTTATTTCAAAATCTTACGTGAAATAGTCATGACAAATACCACTCGAGAAAAAATTGTGTAGGCAAAATTGTTCTCAAGGTTTTATTCAAGTTTGTTGCTTTTCGACAATTTCGCTCATGATATTTTTGATAAAATCACTCGCCTGAAAAGTCATTCGCGAAATTGCCAAGCAACAAACTTTCATACCTTTCGAAAATTTTGCCGACAAAATTTTTTCTCTTGTGATATTATACCGGGTGTCTACGAGATCAGTTTCGCGCTGGCATTTGCTGGTTTTTTTTTCGATGGCAAAGATTTTTGGTATGGAGTGTAGGTTTGAGAAATGTCATATTTTGACATGTGTGTCAATTTTTGGTCACTTCCGGTTTGACCGGAAATGGTCCTAACTCCGTAATTTTGAATGACATCCCAATAATTTTTTCGCGTTTTTGGTATTTGCGGATCATGATGTGTACGAAAACGTCAAATTTGAACATTTTTGAAGAAATTTTAGAACTCTGGATGGAAATTTATTTTTGAACAGAAAATGACGGAGCGGTCTTGAAATTGTTATTTTCAACCCACAGAATCGTAGAAAAATGCGAGTGCCAAGATGTTATCCTTTGCTTGCTCTCCAAAGGCATCCAAAGTTGAAAAAATCACATTCTGCGTGATAACTCAATGAAATCAGTGAAATCACCCAACTTTCACAACAAGAGTTTTTTACCTTTTTCAAAATAAAACCAACTATGCATTGAAACTTTTCATTTATGTTAGTTTTTGATTATTTTATTATTATTTTTTAATGCACTACTATAAACGATAAAACTACTTATAAATGAACCCCTGTATGAAGAACGCTTTCCAAAAGGAGCTGGTGTTTTTTTTTCCTTGACAAGCCATTGACAAGATCTGTGGACTGTGGGCAAGACATTGGGGCAAGATATGTTTATTTGTCATTGTGTGACATCTCGGGAATTTGTAAATACAAAGTTTGAATACAGGGGTTTATTTATAAGTATCAGTTATAATAATGCATAGTAAAAATATTGGAAAAATATTTAAAAACTGGCATGAATAAAAAGTTTTAATGCAAAGTTGGTTTTATTTTGAAAAAGGTAAAAAACATTTATGAAAGTCGGGTGATTTCACTGATTTCATTGAGTTATCACGTAAAATATGATTTTTTCAGCTTTGGAAGCCTTTGGGGAACAAGCATAGGATAATAACTTGGCATTCGCATTTTTCTACGATTGTTTTGGTTGAAAATAACAATTTTAAGACCGCTCCGTCACTTCCTGTTCAAAAATAAATTTTCATACAGAGTTCTGAAATTTTTTCAAAAATGTTCAAATTTGACGTTTTCGTACACATTATGATCCGCAGATACCAAAAATGTAAAAAAATTATTGGGATGCCATTCAAAAATTACGGAGTTAGGACCATTTCCGGTCAAACCGGAAGTTACCAAACATTGACACACATGTCCAAAGATGACATTTCTCAAACCTACACTCCATACCAAAAATCTTTGCCATCGAAAAAAAAACCAGCAAATGCCAGCGCGAAACTGATCTCGTAGACACCCGGTATATGACAATAATGCTACCTGGACAATGCCAATAACATGGTACCCGAGATGGTACCTATTTCAGCGACCATTTTTTGACATTGTCAAACTGGTATTTTTAGTTTGAAGTTTTTATTCATAATTTTGCATTCAATTTATTTTCAAAATCTTACGTGAAATACTCATGACGAATACCACTCGAGAAAAAATTGTGTCGGCAAAATTGTTCTCAAGGTTTTATTCAAGTTTGTTGCTTTTCGGCAATTTCGCTCATGACAAAAATGTCATTCGCGAAATTGCCAAGTAACAAACTTTTATACCTTTCGAAAATTTTGACGACAAAATTTTTTTTCTCCAAACGTCAAAAAAACGTCACTTTGTTAACTTCTGTCAAGATGTCAGAAATTTGATTTCTATGCTGCCAGGCAAATCCAGCGGGTTAACACCTGTCGAGGTGGTAGAAGTTCAATTTCTATGCTGCTTGGCAACCCCAGCGGCAGCAAAAGTACTTTTTTCTACAAACGTGTTAAAAATGCAATTTTTAACACCGCCCCGTAGCATTAAAAATGTTACTTTATCGCACTAGTGCCATAAAGTCTTTATAGCACTAGTGTTAAAAGTGAAACATCAAATTTTGAGAGCGGACGTCAAAAAAAGTTTGTATTTTCAGTTATTTACATTGATAATAATGGTGAAATTTGAACAACTGAGGTAGCCCGATTGGCCGCCTCATCTATATTTTTCGAAGGATCGATGCAACTTTCTTTTTCTTCTGTATTTTGTTGCATTTTTAGCAAAAAGCATTCCTGACCACGACATACTTTCAAGAAACTGACAAGACATTTCGTTACCTGTAAAACAAGGTGCTGGTTGTATGGATTTTTTGACAAATGTCAAATTCAAGAATTTTATATAGGAAAGATGCTTCCAATTTATTATTCATTTAAAAATCCAATTTGTTAGTGGTTATTGCTTTTTATTGCCGTTTGTAGAAAAAATATTGTATGATATTTGTGTTAAAAGTATTTTTAAGGCACTTATGTGAATTGCAGAATGAGCGAAGCGAATTCTGCAAACTTTCACATGCGTGCCTTAAAAATGTACTTTTAACACTTATATCATAAATAACTATTAGTGCCGCTCATACTTTTACTGCCGCTCAGCCATTCAGTTACCCCCGAGCTTACCCCATTAGTTTGGAGAAAAAATAGCGTGTTGCATATGGAGTAGAAGCACTTTTTTGTGCTTTAGCAGTATTGCAAGCCTCACTACGTTCGGCTCGCAAACCTACTGCTTCAGCACAAAAAAGTAAAGCTTCTACTCTT